GAATCCTCTGCACGCGTTAAATTAATCAACGATAAGAGAGAGAGAGAGAGAGAGGACGCAATTTTTTCCTTATGAGTTTTCAAACGCTCGTCGTTGATCCACGCAAAGGAAGGGAGAAAAAAGAGAGTGGAGGAGAACGAAATTATGCCGGCGCAGAGGCATAAAGCGAAAGCTCGATCGAGTGTAATTACAGGCGACGCCATTTATAAAATACTTGGCGTATACTCGATCGAAGAAACATACGGAGGATCGAGTTAAAGTGGGATCGATCCATCCACCAATTCCAAATTTTCCTCCCTTTCGTCGTAAGAAGCAAGCAACTCGATTTCTCCATCTTCGAAAAACGATTAACCATTAACAATATATATATATATATATAGTTGGCTGGTGTAATGGAGGAGGCGCCAGGTGCGTCGCCAATCGATATTTTCGGACGGTTTCATCGATTTAGCTCCCCGAACACGTACCATCCCGATATATCCACGAGCTCGTTACATTTCTTCCATCGACTGTACGTATCCCGTAAACTCGATTAATATGCGACGGAACGATGTGTGCAGGGAGGATGTGTGGAGAGAAATGGGAGGACAAGAGAATTAGAGTTTTGGAACCCTCCCCCTATCACTTGGTTAAAACTCATCCTCGAATTTCGACGTTTTTGAATCAACATCGAAAATGATCGGTCACTCTTGGATATGCAAACACTGGGAGGGTTGCTGCTGTATATGCTCGGTTGAAGATCGGGCTCGATAGAAATTTCCCGTACAAATTATGCGGGATATTACGCGTAACTTGAAATATGCATTATATTTAAATTATGATAATGTCGATGTCGCCTAATGTCGAGAGTCAAAGCTCCCCCCGGAGAAGAGGGTATTCGAGCTTGTGCCTCAAAGTCGATGCCCTCCCCGGGGCATCGTGGCTACCAAAAAGGGAGGGATAAATTGCAGCCTATTATTTAGCCAAACTTCTTTTCCATCGAATTTTTACAATCCATCTTATGTAATAACAGCGCCGGAGTCGATCATTCTTGCGTAATACTCAACGAGCATGAAATTGTCGATCGAATTTTCTTATCTTTCTATACTTTTGCATTCGAGTCGCAGTAAAACTCATCCTTGAATTTCGGCGTTTTTGAATCAACATCGAAAACGATCGTCCCTCCGCCCCACTCTTGGTTCTTGGATATGCAAACACTGGGAGGCACGTACGTGAGTGGATAGGCCGCTACAGCAAGGGTCATAAAGGTCTTGGAGACAATGCACGGCAAACAGGTTCGTTGGTAACGTGGCCTTGGATGGTTAATAAGATTTAAGAGCACGATAAACTTTAATCACGAATGCCCGGTTATTTAAATCTAATTTCCAAGAATTGTGACGAGAAAGAAACACCATATTCGATCTCTCTCCTCGGCTTCGTATTTATTTTCGAAAAGAATCCGCCATTTTCCGCCAAAAATGTTTGTACGCGTGCAAGAAATAGGTTGCGGTGTCGTAAGAAATCGTGCCGAGGGGAGGGAGAAAACAACGAGGCTGCGCCGTTATCCCGCGCAAATCCCGCGTCGACGTGGGATTTCGTCGCGCGCATGCGCGCAGCAAGACGCGATGCATACATTTGGAAAATCGTGTAACGGCCGTCGATAGACTTGGCGGCCTGTGAAATCTAAAGTGATCTCCCGGATTTCTATGGAAATGAGCCAAACCGGGTTCGTTCACCTGTGTGCGGCGATCGTTTCCAAAATTACGAAAACCACCGCCTCTTACAACCGATTTTACTTTTACTGGGAATGTAAAATTCGAGCGACACGGATCGATGCCTTCGAATGAAACTTCGACTCGAGTGGATACGTAAGAGAGAGAGAGAGATGTTGGTCGAAATGGTTTACGAGATATTTAACGATGGAAATATCTCTGGCTTTATTACGTACGAGCAGTAACGATGGTAATCGTTATACTCGAATACCATCGTAAAAAAAAAAAAAGAGGGGGAAAAAAGAAAATTCGATGGAGCAATAAAAATGCTCGAACAAAAGTAGAGGAACGAAATACATGCAAATTCCATTCGGATAGAAATGGCCGGTTTATTGGCACGTCATGGTAGCATCATAAGCGACAACCCCTGCGGCGGAATGGCGTCGACCTGTCAGACGTGGTGGTGCAGTATACGTGTGGTAAGGTTGTTTCGCCTAAGAGCGCATAGCTGGAAATAATTTCCAAATTGTTCGTTCCGTTGGAATAATTTCTAAAAAGAAGGACAGACGATTCGATTTTCTTTCTTTTTTCGAGTTAAAAAAAAAATCTATACCTTTCCAACGATCTTCAAGATGCACGAATAATAACAATTCGTACAATTTTGTCGCAATAAAACGACGATAATAAATTTATCATCGTAAACTTGGATAGATTCGATAGCTATATCCTTCCAATTCTCCTTATTTATCCAATATCTCGACGTTTCTTCCTCTTCTTCCTTCGTCATCCACGCGTCGTGGATCCGCCGATTAAATTAAAAAGCATAAACGTTCACGATTTTATCACAACCACGTGACGTAAGGAAACAACACCGCGAGAGAGAGAGAGAGAGAGAAATAACCGCGGGCGACGCAGGTTTGACGTTTATATTAGCTCCTCGATATATCGAACCCCGGATATCGGTTACAGGTGCGCGGGCCACGATGAAATCTTGTTAATCCGAGCTAATTGGGAACAGTGGTGGTGGTTAACGGTTAAAGAGGGAAGGGTTAAACGGGATCGTGGATTATTGCGGTTTAATTTTCGTCCGACGGACGCAAAACTTCGTCAAATTCGGGTTTATACTTAGATCCTCGGATACGAATTAGGCGAATTATTAACGGAGGATCGAATCTTCTTTTTTTAATGTACACGTGTAACATGTATTTCTTACGTATACCGCTTTTTCGCAATTTTCGAAATGATTAATTTATTCGAATAACGAATAACGCGAGGAGAAACGAGCGAGAACGTCCGTCGTGCTCGGCGTTCGAAACGCGACTCGATATTTTCGTTACCAATGTCGATCGATTTGTTGTCGTTTCTCGCGCCGCGAGAAATGTTTTCAAACGTTCGTAACAATGCGCGTATATACGTTTCTCGATTAAACTTTTATCGAGAAACGAATTGATATTCGCACATTTTTTTCTATCTCTTTTTTATCTTCGTCCTCCTTTTTTCAAATTAATTCGGAACTAAATCGTTTAAAGCGTAAAATTATCGGAAAATTATTAGATTCGGAAGTGTTAAAATTTTATTATTTGAAATGATATCAAAAAAAGTTTTACTAAAAAATTACAAGAAAATTAATAAAGATCGATATCGTTGAACAATTCGATCGGCGCGTGGAATTATGAGATAGAATTTTCTCTTGGAGAGAGAGAGAGAGAGAGAGAGAAAAGAAAAAATATTGAAAATATTTATTCCCTTTCGACGGATCGGAATCGATCGATATAAAATTTGTTCGAAAACGGTCTCCATCGTGGCTAATATCAAAGTAATTTCGTTCTATCAGCCCTGCCTTTATCGGCCTTAATTCTTTTTCCCCGCAACAAAAGCTCGTGTATCTCCTCGAGGAGGTCGCGGGAGGAATACATGCGGCTGTCTCTGTTCCAGGAAACGAGATACTGTATCGCGATGAAATTGGAAATCTCTTGATCTATAACGTTACATCGAGAAAGCCGAGGAAAATCCTGGACTCGACTAATAACGTGAGTACGAATTTCTTCTTTCAGCCCTCAATTTAACTCGAATAAGATTTAATACAATTAAATTTTAACTTAAAATTAATAAATTTGGAGAATCGTCTTGCATATTTTTAACGATTTTCTTAATTTATATAGATATATATATATATATATACGTAGTTATAGTAAATATAATCTATAATAAAATTTTCTAATCTCTCATCTTATACTCTACAACTTTATATATTGTCGCAAAACGTTACTCGTTACGACAGATGCTTGGAGAAACAGTTCGTTCGATCGATTTTCGCGCTCGACCCTTAAACAAATATAGAGATCTAATTTCTTTTTCTTTCCAATATAATAAAATAACTATATAAATGAATCCTAATTTCTAATCTCCCATCTGCACTTACTCTACGACTTTATATATTGTCGCAAAACGTTACTCGTTACGACAGAGAATAAATTTATACGCTTAGGAGAAACAGTTAATTATTTTACATTCAATTCAATATTTCGCACGAATAATAAGACTGAGCTTGACTACTATTTGTATCTTCGCCGTTTCACTCTCAGTTTTAAAATTCTTCCTAATATCGTTATTATTATACCAGGAACATGTTCATTTGTAACAAAGAGATTTTTGTAAATGAATGGAGGAGTAGGTACGAGAATCGTTTAAACAACTAACTACTACCGTTCCATTTTCAGGTGCTGATATTGAGTTTCGATTATCAACTATCGGCCGACCGGAAATATCTTCTGCTGGCCATCAACTACCAGAAGGTAAGCAACACGTTCGCCCGACACGTTGGGCCAGAAATCGAGGTCTTTGTCGATGCCCTCCCCGGGGGGAGGCGGGGAGGAATAGGTAGAAACGAAAATTTCCCCGTTATTACGCCGTTGGTGTGGACGTGTCGAATAAATTTCGAGCGGGCTGACCGCGAAATTACCACCGTCTGATAGGCTTCGATCAATACTCGCAGCTGGTGGCCCGCCTCGTGGTGCAAAAGTGCGCGATACGATACGATAAATGAAGGGGCGAGTGATGATCGTCTGATAATGAACGAGAAAAGAAATCTCTCGGTTGAGAAAAGTGAGGGTTATTTAGAAAGGAGGGGAGAGGAGAGCAAATTCGACGATGAAGACGAATGATCGCCGAGGGATGAATTTAACTGGAAGTTTCCAGGATGAAACTTTTCTCTCTCTTCCTCCCCTTCTCCCTCCCTGTCCTTAGCGAAACCAAGGATTCTCTTCCTCCCATAATAATCCGTAAGACCTCGTTTCCGCAAGTTTCTTCTTCTTCTTCTTCTTCTTCTTCGTTGAGGATCGACGATCTCGTTTCGACGATCTCCAAGATTTTGGAAATCATACGCGTTGTAAAGGAAAGTAATATTTCGAGACGAATCAACAGCAACAATTTGTAAACCAGTTCTCTTCAGTTCTCTTCAGTATCGTGTTCAATGTAGGTTAATTCAGGGGATGATTTTAGGTTCTTTTTTTTTTTTTCTAACCAATTCCGATACACGTTGTGCAAGCTGTGTTGCAACAACAACAATAGTTTATTTATACGCTACAAACGATATCTTTGCGTACATTTTTAACGATCAGCGCGACATCTGTCCGACGAATTTAACAACAAACCTGTACAAAATATATTTCAACACCGTGTTAAACGTGTTCTTTGAACGATATTCGACATTTTCAATAATAATCTTCGATTCCAGAATTGTTCCACTTTTTTCTGACGCAACTCCATCTCATAGATAAAAAGCATAGATAACAGTCATTATCGAGACGTTATCACGATGTTTTAATCCCATTTCTTGGGAATGGAAATCTCCTTTCGAAACAACACCGATCGAACTCTGGTTTGCGATGCAAAATAAAATGGGAGGGGAAAAAAAAAAAAAAAAAAAAAGGCCTTCTTCCTGTAACGGGCGACAGTTGTTTTATCACCCTTGAAGTTTACATTTGCATTTAAATGAATTG